GGTGAAACACAACAGCAATAGAGAACACTTGTCAGATACACCAATACTTGCCATTAAACAACACTGTATACAGAGAGTTGTCAGTTACCTTCACACACACTTAGACCAAGGCGAGTTATAACCCCAGACGACAGAGGTACTGACACACATACGACCAAGGCTACGACGAGGGGTACTGACACACATACGACCAAGGCTACGACGAGGGGTACTGACACACATACGACCAAGGCTACGACGAGGGGTACTGACACACATACGACCAAGGCTACGACAAGATTTACTGATAACGTTAATGACTTGAAGCTTTATAGCGAACCATAGTATATTTGGTGTCTAGATGAGGCGGGTCTGTGTATGTAGGGTACAACACACACACATACATACATACACATACAGACATACACACACACAGGCAAAATTCCAGGTAGTGTTGTAGGTTAGAACAAGGTGTACTGGTCAGGTCAGGATGTACAGGCGGGGGATTCTATTTCCTGTCTAGGCGGATCTCTACCTCCGCCTGTGGCTATAAATTCTCTCAGTAGGTCGAGCAAGATGTACTGTATGCCCGCCTGTTATTATACCCCGTCAGATATAATAAACCAATCATCTTCGTCTATCTGTTTGTTTGTTTATGTTTCTGGACTCTATTGGAAGAGCCACTCAGTTTACGGTGGTTGTGATTGGTGGGTATATCCTCTCCGTGTAGGATCAAATGTTTTCCGAAAAATAGTCTCAGCCGAGTTCTAAGAATACACACACACACACACACACACACACACACACACACACACACACACACACACACACACACACACACACACACTCAAAGTTAGCTGATGGTCGTCTCAACAGAGATATGTGGTGGTGGGTGTGTGTGTATGATGTTTATGGACAACTGATAGAGAGACACACACACACACACAGAGACATATAGATACATAAAAAGAAAAGAGATAGACGGAAAGACAGACAGGCAGACGGGAAAAGAGGGAAACAGACAGAGAGACAGACAGGTAAAAAATCACAAAACACGAAATGAACAGAAAAAAATGGCAACTAAAACACACAAACACACACACACACACACACACACACACACACACACACACACACACACACACACAATAAAATCACAACATAAGAACTATACAACACAATGCAAGCACAGGTACACACAATACACCTGGACAAGACCTACCTGCCTGGACTACCTGTGCTGAAAGGTCACAGTGAAAAGAGCAGCAGCTGACCTCCCACAGGTGTACGCACATTGTTCATAAATTTGTATTGTGAGTTGAGATATTGGCCCTGAGGCTGTCTGGCTGTTGCCGTGTATAGTGGAGGATTTGTATACAAGGAGAGGAGGAAGCTTGTATGAATACACCTTAGTAGTGATGATGACCTGTTCTATTGTCGGGAGGTAAGCGGCGGTGCTGGCAGTAGGGAGGTGGGGTGTATATACTGAACGGCGGTGCTATGTAGGGAGGTGGGGTGTATATACTGAACGGCGGTGCTGGCAGTAGGGAGGTGGGGTGTATATACTGAACGGCGGTGCTGGCAGTAGGTGGGTGTATATACGAACACGGTGCTGGCAGTAGGAGGTGGGTGTATATACGAACGCGTGCTGGCAGTAGGGTGGGGTGTATATACTGAACGGTGCTGGCAGTAGGTGGGTGTATATACGAACGGGTGCTGGCGAGGGGGGTGATATACCGAACGGCGGTGCCAGAGGGTATATACGAAGGTGCAGTAGGAAGGGGGTGTATATACCGAACGCGGTGCTGGCAGTAAGGAGTGGGGTGATATATACGAACCGGTGCTGGCAGTAAGGAGGTGGGGTGTATATACTGAACGGCGGTGCTGGCAGTAGGAGTGGTGTATACCGAACGCGTGCAGAGGTTGACGAAGCTGGAAGGATGGTGATATACCGAACCGTGCTGTAGAGGTGATATACGAACGTGCTGGCAAAGGTGGGTGTATACTGAACGCGTGCTGCATAGGAGTGGGTGTATATACGAACCGCAGTAGGAGGTGGAATACTGAACGGTGCTCAGTAGGGAGGTGGGGTGTATATACTGAACGGCGGTGCTGGCAGTAGGTAAACAAGGTGTATAGCGACTCTAACCTAACCTAACCTAACCTAACCTAACCTAATTTAACCTTTAGGGTGCAGTTCATATGGCCAGTAATTGATAATATGAAAGAAAGGAAATGAGAACGAGAGAGAGAAAGAGAGAGAGAGAGAGAGAGAGAGAGAGAGAGAGAGAGTCCTATGAACCAAACATGCACTGCTGAGTCTAGCTGTGTTGTGCCATCAAGGTTGAACTGTTATATACGTAGTGAACCTGACCCACTTCTCTCTCTCTCTCCTTTCTTCACCTTCCTCCACTAACTTCTTACAAACACTTAACAATTAGCGTCACTCCCTCAATTAATTTCACACTCCACAGCCTCTTGTCACCTCGACCCAGAAGGTTCACAGTCGACAAGTTTTTATTTCATTTTATTTTTAATGATTTTATGGAGTCAATGGTTATGTTAGGTTAGGTTAATGCTGATGACAGGGATAGTGTTAGAAGTTGGATGTGTGGGCGTGTGGGCGTGGGAGAGGGAGGCAGACGTGTGGGCGGGCGTGGGGTGGATGAGGTAGCCAGTATCGCATTAGAGTTAATGTTTGAGTTTTATGGTAAATGATTCCACAACTTTATTCATATCACCATATTTACCTGTGGCTCAGTTAGGTTAGGTTAGGTTAGGTAAGGTTAGGTAAGGTTAGGTTAGGTTAGGGGCCTAGTTAACCGTGACCCAATGAAGGCTCTAATATATATGTATTTGGTCCATATTTTTCAACTCAAAATTTCTTTATCAAGTTAAAATAAAAATTCAGGGGGAGGGGGGGTGAAGGGGGGGGGGTGAAGGGGGGTTTATTATTTTGTTAAGTTTGTGTTAAGATGAGTTTGTTATTATTATTTTATTTATTTATTTTTAATTTTTTTTACCTGTGAACTTTATTACCGCTCGTGTTTCTTTTATACTGAACACCTTTCAGGAAATTAATGAGAAAATAAATTAATAAATTCTTTTTGTTAATTTTGTTAATTTACAAATATATAACTTTCCAAACTACCAACCCAACTGTGGTGTTTGTTCTCTGTTTGATGATCTGTCATGATGTTTACACAAATACAAACACAAATAAACATAATATTTAGTTAATGTTTACACCTACGACCATGAGGTCTCGTCCATGTGGAAATTACTGAAAACAACAAATTATTAATATTTCCTTAATTTGTCAAAGTAATGATCAAATTAGTTATACTTTTTATATATTTTTTTACGTTAATCATTTTTTTTAATTAATGAATAAATTAGGCAAATTTTTATTTTTCAATTGATAATTAAAATTTGAGTTTTTTTTTTGTTTAATTATGTGTTTTGAAAGTTGTAGGAAAAACTATACAAGGAACACAACACACTTTAACGCAACACTCTTTAACACATCACCCTCCAACACAACACCTCCAACACATCACCTCCAACACATCACCTCCAACACAACACCTCCAACACAACACCTCAAACACAACACCTCCAACACAACACCTCCAACACCCTCCATCAAACGACCAGACAAGATAGAGGCAAACCCAAATAAAAATAAGCAATTGGAAAGAAAAAAAAATTACATTGATATAAACGAGAAAAAAACAGTGTTGGCACAGCAGTTTCTCTAACCAACACTTCGCTGGGTAGAAAAAAGTGTTTATAAAAATCTTCACTTGTTGAATATCTCGACCCAGCAATTTGCCCACGAGGAGAATATTATGTGAAGTGAGGGAATAAACACGACGAAGGAGAGATAAGTTAACTAACTGGAGACGTAAAAAAGAAGATATTTAGTATGTAGTGGAGGAGATGAGTGTCTGTCTGTCTGTCTGTCTGTCTGTCTGTCTGCCTGCCTGTCTGTCTGTCTGTCTGTCTGTCTGTAAATGATAATTGGAGAGAAATATATTATATAATAAGTAAAAAAAAAAGACAAGTTTCCTCCTGACATTTAACTTCGCCACTTTTTATGCCTCTCTCCCTCCCTCATTTTATCTCTCCCTCCCTCCTTCCTTCTCTACCTCCCTTCTCCATTTCCCTCACACTTCCTTTCTCTCACTTTAACCTTTCCTCCTCTCTCTCCACCCTTCCCTCCCTCCCCAGCCCCTCCCCCAGACCCCACTCAGCCCCCTCCTCCTCCTTCCCAAACCCCTCCCCCCAGGCCCTCCCAGCCCCCTCCCCCCAGACCCCCTCCTCACGGCTCACTTACTGCAATGTGCCAGGGGTGGCAGGCTTTCCATCGCTGCTAACTTGTAAATGTAATTTCTGCTGTGTGAGCCACTTGGGGTGCATACTGATGATGTGGCCAGCCTACCACACCATCCACCAGCCCCTACCACACCTTACTACTAGCTCTACCACACCACCTACCAGCCTCTACCACACCACCACACCTGCTGGTTATGGCAGGTGAGAGGCGTGACAACAGGAAAAAGAAAACAACTTAAGAAAGGAGAGATGATGAGGAGGTGAGGAGACTGGCGGAGTTATGAGGGGGTTGTGTTTTGGTCACCAGCGTCCACCAGCGTCCACCAGCGTCCACCAGCGTCCACTAGAGTCCACCAGCCTCCACCAGCCTCCACCAGCCTCCACCAGCCTCCACCAGCCTCCACCAGCCTCCACCAGCCTCCACCAGCCTCCACCACCCAGCCTCCACCAGCCTCCACCAGCGTCCACCAGCCTCCACCAGCCTCCACCAGCCTCCACCAGCCTCCCACCAGCGTCCACCAGAGTCCACCAGCCTCCACCAGCGTCCACCAGCCACCAGCCTCCACCAGCCTCCACCAGCCTCCACCAGCGTCCACCAGCGTCCACCAGCCTCCACCAGCCCACCACCAGCGTCCACCACCAGCCTCCACCAGCCTCCACCAGCGTCCACCAGCCTCCACCAGCCTCCACCAGCGTCCACCAGAGTCCACCAGAGTCCACCAGCCTCCACCAGCGTCCACCAGCGTCCACCAGCCTCCACCAGCGTCCACCAGCGTCCACCAGCGTCCACCAGAGTCCACCAGAGCCCACCAGCGTCCAGAGTCCACCAGCCTCCACCAGTCACAGAGCCACCAGCGTCCACCAGAGTCCACCAGCCTTCCACCAGGTCCACCAGGTCCACCAGCGTCCACCAGTCCACCAGTCCACCAGAGTCCACCAGAGGTCCACCAGAGTCCACCAGGGTCCACCAGAGTCCACCAGAGTCCACCAGTCCCCACCAGACCAGAGTCCACAGAGTCCACCAGGAGTCACCAGAGTCCACCAGAGTCCAGAGTCACCAGAGTCCACCAGCGTCCACCAGGTCCACCAGCGTCCACCAGAGTCCACTAGAGTCCACCAGAGGTCCACCAGCCTCCACCAGCGTCCACCAGAGTCCACCAGAGTCCACCAGAATCCACCAGAGTCCACTAGAGTCCACCAGGAGCCCACCAGGAGTCCCCAGAGTCCACCAGCCCACCAGCCTCCACCAGAGTCCACCAGAGTCCACCAGAGTCCACCAGAGTCCACTAGAGTCCACCAGAGCCCACCAGAGTCTACCAGCCTCCAGCCTCCACCAGCGTCCTCCACCAGAGTCCACCAGAGTCCACCAGAGTCCACCAGAGCCCAGAGTCTACCAGCCTCCACCAGCCTCCACCAGCGTCCACCAGAGTCCACCAGAGTCCACCAGAGTCCACCAGAGTCCACTAGAGTCCAGTCCAGTCCACTAGAGTCCACTCCAGAGTCCACCAGAGTCCCAGAGTCCACCAGAGTCCACCAGAGTCCACCAGTCCACAGAGTCCACCAGATCCACCAGAGCCCACCAGAGTCCACCAGCGTCCACCAGAGTCCACCAGGGTCCCCAGAGTCCACCAGAGTCCACCAGAGTCCACCAGCGTCCACCAGAGTCCACTAGAGTCCACCAGAGCCCACCAGAGTCCCAGAGTCCACCAGCGCCCACCAGCCTCCACCAGAGTCCACCAGAGTCCACCAGAGGCCCACCAGAGTCTACCAGAGTCCACCAGCGTCTACCAGAGTCCACCAGCGTCCACCAGGGTCCACCAGAGTCCACCAGAGTCCACCAGGGTCCACCAGAGTCCACCTCCTCAACTCACGTCAGCTGACTCAGGAAAACACACCTCATGATGGGACAAAGTCAGCTCCTGAGTGGTGGGAGGCGCGGGGAGCAAATGGAGCAACTCTTACGTTACTTTACCACACCTATCCACACACTAGGTCACCACACAGACAGACAAACAGACAAACAGACCACCACCACCACTCACAAGATCACCATACAGACAGACAGACAGACAGTAGGAGTATCATCAGGTGAGACAGATGGTCGTGGTCACAAGTGTATTGGTTCAGGTGGCCACAATGACCAGGTATGGAGGCCATCATCACTACCTGTGTTTACCTGTGATGGTGACGTCACTGTTGGCACCTGTTGCTGGCTCACACCTCACACCTCACTCACAGCGTATGTATGTCTTAACTATTAATTATTGCTTTTATTAAGAAATTATTAATATTATATCACAACAAAATAATATCGAGTCATTTCTTGTTTACTTTCGGTGATTAAAAAAAAATCGAAATATTTTCCCCCAAAACTGTATTTCTATTGTGACCGAGACTGACCAGAAGCACCGTACCACACCACTCACCTCCTCTACCCGACTGTTAGTAGTAGTAGTAGTAGTAGTAGTAATAGTAGTAGTAGTGGTAGTGGTGGTAGTGGTGGTGGTGGGCGGCTGCATTACCTGGTCAGTTTACTACACTTCACCTGAGCTACGTTAGGTGTTCTCAATGCCACATGTTGCCGCTTGACTGCCCTAACTCTCCGCAGCGAGGTGGGTCTTGTGTACACATTCTTCAAGACTCTCAGGGTAAACAAAATTCACCCAATTGACCGGTTTACAGTTGGCCGCCGTCATTCATTGTTCCTTTATTAGGTTTTACATAATGGTGAATAAATTTGTTTTTATTTTTTGTTCAGTTGACGTTATTTGGTATATTAGCTGGTGGAATGTAACCTCAAAATAGCGGTACTACTACCATACTACTACTACTATTACTACTACTACTACTACTGGTTCTACTACTACTACCACTACTACTAAACCACCAACACTACTACTAATACTACTACAGCAGATAAAACCTCTTATCTACACAGCACCACCATTAGGTCACATCACTGACTTTGATAAGGACCACACAGTTGTGACCTAACGAGATACTTCAAGCCATCGTAGGATCCTGTGAGGTCCTGAAGTAGTGTTCCTTGATCTTACGACCTGATGACACAACCATCCCCTCTCTCTCTCTCTCTCTCTCTCTCTCTCTCTCTCTCTCTCTCTCTCTACCTAAGCTTTGTGTCATAAGAGTTACTTGAGACTCGTTCACATTACCTTTATGGTGAAAGTCTCTCCCTACGATCAACTGCGTTTTTGGAGGACCAGAAGTGACCCGGAGACGAACCAACAACCCATAGGACAGTAGACGGGTGTTGTATCCCCTCGCCCACTAACAGCTATCATTTATTTCTTATCGTTATCACATTAACTCTGGGCTCTACTCTTCTCAACATGGCCAGTTTTATGGTGTGTTAATACGGATACCATGCCCTCTGTCACCCATGGCCGCCACCCATAGCCACCCCCTGTCACCCATGGCCGCCACCCATAGCCACCCCCTGTCACCCATGGCCGCCACCCATAGCCACCCCCACCTGTCACCCATGGCCTGCCCATAGCCACCCCTGTCACCCATGGCCCGCCACCCTTAACCACCCCCTGTGTCACCCATGGCCCACTTGCCATAGCCACCCCTGTCACCCATGGCCGCCCCCCCTCCACCTGTGTTTGCATTATTTACGTAACCAAATTGTTTTCGTCTCATCATTAATTGTGATTCTATTTGGCTCTGTGTTCTCTTACCGTCTGCTCTGGGCCTGTTGACTTCACGTGTACAGGTCTGAAACGTTTGTGTTCTCGTTTGTAAACACATCAGCATCCTCTCACCTCTCATCTCTCATCTCTCATCTCTCATCTCTCACCTCTCACCTCTCATCTCTCACCTCTCACCTCTCATCTCTCACCTCTCATCTCTCACCTCTCATCTCTCATCTCTCATCTCTCACCTCTCATCTCTCACCTCTCATCTCTCATCTCTCATCTCTCATCTCTCACCTCTCATCTCTCACCTCTCATCTCCTGGAAATGTGGCGGTAGACCATCAAGCTCTTGTGGTTCCAGCTTCCAGGAAAGAGTCGTTTATTAAATTATTAATCAACAGTAGACGTCGCTGAGAGAACTACTGAGACATACAAGTTGGTTATTTGGTCATGAGCCAAGTGGAGGTGCCTCGCCTCCTGCCCTGCCTCACCCTGTCTCACCCCTGCCCCGTCCCATCCCCGCCCCGCCCGCCCGCCCACCCCGCCCCAAATATCTAAATAACCACACTCCACTACACTACACTACACTATACTCCACTACACTACACACCACACACTACACCACTCACTACACACCACACTACACACTACACACTACACAACACACTACACTACACACCACACCACACCACACTACACACCACCACACACACTACACTACACTACACACTGAACACTAAACCAGCAGCTTAGTATACAAAGGGTGTGGACTCAGGAGGCGAGGCTGATTGGTCCATGTTGTATGATGCTCCAATCTCCTCCATCCTCCCTCACCACTTCTCTACCATACCCCCCTCCCTTCACCCCTGTCTCTCCCCACCCATCCCCCCTCACCCTTCTCCCTCTTCACCCCTCCCTCTACCCTCTCTCCCCCACCCTCTCTCCTCCTCACCCCCCCACCCCCCTCTCCCCCCCACCCTCTCTCCTTCCTCCCCCACCCTCACCCCGTCTCTCACTAACTAACTAGCTGAGAGAACTTTCCCTCAGCCAACACTGAATACAGCTCATCTGCTCTCCTATACTCGTGTTAATTCCACTGTTTTGTGTCTGTCAGTGATTGAGTGTGAGGTCTGTCAGTGGCTGGGTGCTGTCTGTCAGTGGCTGGGTGTGTGTCTGTCAGTGAGTGGAGTCTGTCAGTGGCTGGGTGTCTGTGTCTATCTGATGTGGAGTGTGTGTCTGTCAATGGCTGAAGTGTGTATCTGCTCAATCGGTGAGTGTGTGTCTGTCAGTAACAAAATTATTGTGTCATCCCAATGCTTCCAGGTGTGTGTCTGTCAGTAGCTGGGTATGTGTCTGTCAGTGGCTGGGAGTGTGTGTCTGTCAGTGGCTGGGTGTGTGTGTCTCTGTCAGTGGCTGGGTGTCCTGCTCAGTAGCTTTGGGTGTGTGTCGCCAGTGGCCTGGGTGTGTGTCTGTCAGTGGCTGGGTGTGTGTGTCTGTCAGAGGCACTGGGTGTGTGTCTGTCAGTGGCTGGGGTGTGTCTGTCAGTGGCTGGGTGTGTGTCCTGTCCAGAAGGCTGGAGTGTGTGTCTTATCAGTGGCTGGTGTGTCTGTATCGTGATTGGGTGCTGAGTCTGTCTGAGGCTGGCTGGGTGTGTGTCTATCCAGAGGCTGGGTGTGTGTCCTGTCTGATGGCTGGGTGTGTGTCTGTCAGAGGCTGGGTGTGTGTCTGTCAGTGGCTTTGGGTGCTGTCTGTCGATGGCTGGGGTGTGTGTCTGCTCCAGAGAGGCTGGGTGGCAGCTGTCCTGTCAGTGGCTGGGTGTGTGTGTCTGTCCCGTGGCTGGGTGTGTGTCTCTTGTCCAGTGGCTGGGTGACTGACAATACAGCTCGGTGGCTGGGTGTGTGCCTGCTCAGTGGCTGGGTGTGTGTCTGTCAGTGGCACGGGCTGGCCTGTGGTGGCTGGGTGTGTGTCTGTCAGTGGCTGGGTGTGTGTCTGTGTGGCTGGGTGTCTGCCAGGGAAGCTGGGTGTGTGTCTGTCAGTGGCTGGGTGTGTGTCTGTCGAGCCAGCTGGGTGTGTGTGTCAGTGGCTGGGTGTGTGTCTGTGTGGCTGGGTGTGTGTCTGTCAGAGAGTTGGGTGTGTGTCTCTGTCAGTGGCTGGATGTGTGTGCTCTGTCAGTGGCTGGGTGTGTGTGTCTGTCAGTGGCTGGGTGTGTGTCTGTCAGTAGCTGGGGTGAAGCTGTGTCTGTCAGAGGCTGGGGTGTGTGTCTGTCCAGTGAAGCTGGGTGTGTGTCTGTCAGTGGCTGGGTGTGTGTCTCTGTGTGGCTGGGTATGTATCTGTCAGAGAGTTGGGTGTGTGTATCTGTCAGTGGCTGGGTGTGTGTCTGTCAGAGCTGGGTGTGTGCCTATCAGTGGCTGGGTGTGTGTCTGTCAGGCTGGCTGGGTGTGTGTCTGGCTCCAGTGGCTGGGTGTGTGTCTGTCCCAGAGTTGGGTGTGCTTCTGTCCAGTGGCTGGAGTGTGTCTGTCAGAGAGTTGGGTGTCCATGTCTGTCAGTGGCTGGGTGCTGTGTCTGTCAGTGGCAGCTGGGGTGTGTCTCTCAGTAACAGGTGTGTGTCTGTCAGTATGGCTGGGTGTGTGTGTCTGTCAGTGGCTTTGGGTGTGTGTCTGTCAGTGGCTGGGTGTGTGTCTGTGTCAAGTGGCTGGGTGTGTGTCTGTCCAGTGGCTGGGTGTGTGTCTGTCAGTGGCTGGGTGTATGTCTGTCAGTGGCTGGGTGTGTGTCTGCTCAGTGGCTGGGTATGCATCTGTCCAGTGGCTGGGTGTGTGTCCCTGTCAGTGGCTGGGTGTGTGTCTGTCCAGAGGCTGGGTGCTGTGTCTGTCAGAGGCTGGGTGTGTGTCTGTCGGTAGCTGGGTGGCCTTCTGTCAGTGGCTGGGTGTGTGTCTGTCAGTGGCTGGGTGTGTGGCTGTGTGGCTGGGTGTGTGTCTTGCTCAGGAGCTGGGTGTGTGTGTCTAACCAGGCTGGCG